GACTACCCCTTTATAGTAAAGGTAAAAGCTACTTGACCACAATGAGCATTTATAAAACATCTGCCTCAAACATCACATGAACCATGAGTTTAGACAGAAAACATCAAACCATCAGCAAGATAATAAGAGACCAAAGTTTGAAACAAGTGCAGAGAAATAGCTGGAGAACATCTTTATGTGTAAGGGTAATCCAATAACTCAAAGATGGTAGAGCCTCTTTATGGATGATAATTAAAGCACTAGCTGTCTCTATCCTCTACTTTCTGCTAGAGGTCGGGACATGAGCTCTGTAAGAAAGTCCCTGTAGAGGTGGTACTCTGCTACCTGGTTGAAAGAAAGGGCTTTACACCAACCTCAATCCTACAGATACAAGACATTTTTGTTTTCAACAGCTCACGTGATCTGGACATCAGGAGTTGAGTTAAAACTAAGCAAAGCAACTTCAAATTTATGTGTGCCTTAAGATTCATAACAAATTCAGAATTAATGGGCAGCCGGGGAGGGCAGCAACTAGATGTTCAAATCCGCATCGATGCTGATTTTTTTTTTTTAAACCTCAAAACTGATGCAGGCTCCCAGACCAACCAAGATGGGTCCAAGTAATGACCTGTGAAGTCAAATCGGCTGCAGTCATACCGACCACATTACCCCTTTGAGTGCCGACTGAACTAAAAATATAGGTTTAACACTGTTTATCTTGGGGTTTAACACTGTTTATTTTGGGGTTTAACACTGTTTATCTTGGGGTTTAACACTGTTTATCTTGGGGTTTAACACTGTTTATCTTGGGGTTAGCCTCTTGCCTAAACCTAGTGCTGATTGGTCTGTTAAAATATGGGAGCTCTTCCCATATGCCCAATAAAGATGTGAAAAGGGATCTTTACTTTACTCTTGCCTAGTAGCCTGCTGTATTGTTGTGCACATTAAAAAATCCCTTGGCAGTTGGAAAAAAAAAAAGAGCAGCCTAATGGCGCTGACGTGGCTAAATTGGAAGTTAAAAATCTACCATGAGTATTTCAGGATCCTCGCCGATGCTACAGAGTTCATGCACTGTGTTGAGATTCTTTGGACTCAGACTTGAGTCAGAAGTAGAACGGAGCACTTATGGGTTACTATCCTTGTGCCATGATGTTGATCTGTCATCAAAACCTAAACCTAAATTTGATCCTTTCATCTTCTATGAAATCATACACCGGTACTGTGCCTACTATTGTTATTAGTTCTTCATTGATGGCTCTTGTTGTTTTTCTCGCCACAGTTTCTACGCATCTCATCTCACATGTTGTAAGACTACATGCATGAAGTGATAAAAGTGTGATAAGATCCTTCACCTACTTACTTAAAAGTGAGTGTCAAACTCAGCATACTCAACAACAGTTGGTCAACAACAGTTTAATCAAGCCAAGCTTAAACAGACAACATCTCTGCCAAGAGAATTTGCAGTTACACTGAGCAAAACTGAGGTTAATCACAAGTTCACTGAACATATTTTAATTACTGCAGACTCGCTCAATAAACTTTAACCACTACTGTAAACTTTGAGTACATTATCACTCAAGATTCCATAACCATCATAATCTCAAATTACACCATCTTTCTTACAGTAAAATTACTCAAGCCTTACTGTAATCACTGCACAATCACGCATAAACACTTCAACCAGTTTACATTCACTCAACAACCACGCAAATCAACTTAATGAAGGTCATGTAATCAGTGACAAAAAGCACATTTTAAAGCATTGAATGACAGCACTCAGATAATTTACTATATATATTATAACATCTTTACAATGATAGATAATCAACAAGGTGTAAACTATGTGGTAACACATGTGATTCATGAAAGACAAGTTGATAAACAGTACACTTTGGAAACAAACAAAAATGACTGTATCATGATGAAGGCTTTGTGACTACAATTATACGCAAACATGAACAAATCTGGCCCATTAATTCACAGCAGAATAAACTAAATATCAGCTTTGTTTTTATGAGTTTTCATTTCTCTTTTTCAGGATAAAGTATGTGAAGAAAGTAACAGCATGTTCTAGAACTATCGCACAATGCATAGTATGAACAGGATACTATGAAATAATCTAGATACTGCCAACCTTGTGAGCTATAGACAAACAATACTTGAGTGTACCTGTATCGACATGTCCAATTTTTTCAGTCTTGGGTTTAGTGGGCATATAGGGCTAGACTTTTATTTTACAGATCAATGGGCACTCACTGGTGATGTGGTCAACATCATTTCTACCTCCTTTACTTCCCAGGATTTTTACCTGGTATCTATTTAAGGCTTGGTCAACCTGGGAGCCAAAGTCATTTCTGTGTGTTAAAATTTGACCAACAAATATAGAAAATAAAATGGTTTGCCAAATTATGAGGAACCAACTTCTGATGCTATTTCATTCAAGGCATGTACCAAAACAGAAGAGGGATCACAGAGCCAAAAACAGCACTTACCTCAGTCTGCCTAACTCCTAAGTTAATCTGTGGTTCCAATATGTTAGGCTGTGGAATCCCTCGGGATTCATGAAATAAATTTAAGGGGTCTGTGATATTATTTTCATAACATTTATACAAAAAACTCAAAACCTCAACCTCTTGTGTTTTATTTTTAACCCTTTACAGTTATAAAATAGATTTACCCTTTCTAACAAAAACGTTTTTAAATATGACTTTTAAAAAGAAAGGGTGCATGCCTTCACAAATTCAAAAATAAAATAGAGTCTTTGAATCTTATCTGACTTAAAACATTTAAAGAAGATAATGCTAAATTATGCCAGTGTTAAATAAAAAAAAACAAAAAACATACTTAATGTAAAAAGAACATAAGCAACACAAGAAATGGACAGGAAGTGTGCACATTCTAAGACTGAGTTGATTTACGTGTCACAAAATAGGCCAAATTTGTTTCCTATGCTTTAAAAAATGAAGTACCAAGTTGGAAAATCCTGCATACACAATGGCAGATCCAAATTCATGTAGATCCAGATATCAAAGCCGATCTCATGTATAAAATTCAAACAGGCACATCAATTAACATATTATTAACACACAATGACAGTAGACACCATCTGTTTTCACTTACATGTTTCTTAAGCACAAAACTGTACACTATAAAAGATACCTGCGACATATTGCATCAACAACATGAAAGGCTAATCAACATTTGCAGTATAAAATAACAAATATTCAAGGCCACAATGTGTTCTTCTTGACTCCTTAATGGGAGAGCCACAGAAGAATTTTACTCAACATTTCAAAAAGGTTAAATATGAGGCTAATTTAATGTCTAGCAAACTGGTCTCATGTCAGTGTACAAATATTACTTGATATAAAAAATTTAAACTTAAAAAATAAAAAATAAATTGTATGCTAGTGCGTATCCAGCATATGGTGCTAGATTTCAATTTTAGACCAATCAGCTCTCAGTGGGTGATGTCATAAACATAAGGTTGGCCACAGTAACTTCCCAGGACACTTCCTGGTACCCAGTTTAGGGTGGTCGACCTCAAAACCAAGGTTAATTTTTTCCAAATCTACCTGGTACGGATTCAAACACAAGAACTTCAGGCCCGCCAGTGAGCACCTAGCCAGCCACCACATCACTACAGCTTCCTACTGTTTGATACAGAACTTGATCAATCACCAAACAAGGTAATGTAACTATGGAAACCATTGTTTTGATGCTTTGAATTATTCAAAGTTTGTACAGAAAATGACAGCCATTGCAACACAGCAGCCAGCCCACTTTCCTGCTGACCTGGAGGTCATGTATTTGAAGCCTCCCAGGTACAAATGAAGCAAGTAGACATGTGATGCAATGCTTAGGAGATAAAATAAAGTAATAACCACACATCGCTATTTGGGACTGAAATACTGCTGATAGTATGCTTGCCCACAAATGCATTATTGGTAATGAATTTCTTGATATGCTCTAATAAGCAACCTTTCCCACAATTTTCAACATACCAAAGGATAGTTAAATAACTAAAGCAGACTCTATAAATTATTGCTGTTTGCAAAAAACTGATCTTCATGAAGACCTGTACTTGTATAAATTCGTGAACATTTCAATTTTCACAAATTAGTCAAACATCGTTAGTGAGCTCGGTGCAGAGTGGCAAGCATTGCTTCAGAAATCCCAGGTCATTGGTGCTCTTCAGATATCTTCTCCCGGGTGAACAATTGTGCTGACAAAATAAACAACCAGACAGATTAGCTGGTTCTGCGCCATTTGGTGGTGAACTGCTACATGACAAGCTAGATGTTTTCAAGGTCCTTTGGGAGCCAGTCAATAATGTGCAAACACAGTCTGAAGAGAATGGTGCGGCGGTGAGTGAGCAGGAGATCTGGTCGACACCTAACACTTAGGGGAAAGGAAAAATGGACATACAATCACTCTGCTCAGGTACCGTTGGAACTGGAACTCAGAGCTGGCTGCTGAATATGGGGACAGAGCACTTATGAAAACATCAGAGTGCTATGATATCAGTTCTAAACTCAACATCATGTGAGGGGCGGGGGGGGGGGGGGGACAAAAAACGCCATGTTCAAACAAAGGACACATTTGTGATGTTTGAAGTCAAGTACTGTAGGCTGATTTATTGCTCACACTGGGGATATTCACAGCTAAATGCCCTGTGCTCTGAAAGTCAAGGGTTTGTTTCACAGAGTCCGTCTTTCAGTTCACAAATGCATTTTTAAATACAAACTCATAGAAAAAACATAGCTGGAGCTACAGAGTTTGTGATTTGTGCAACACTGTCAACAGAACAGTTTGCCGTTCTGAAGAGATGATCAAGTCATTCGGGATGTAACCCACTGCAATAAGGTCGATCTCTCAAACTTTTTAAACTGTTGAAATTGTGGACTCTTAACAACTTGCCAGTTTGGATCTTTATTACCAAGCCAACTTTCAAGTCTAGTTTACTGAGCATGTTTGTTGTTCCTGTATAGGCTATCAGCCTGCTTTACCTGGCATGTTTTTTAGATAGCTTCCTGTTTAAAATGTGTCACTTCGGCATCCTGAAAATGCTGGCCACCATCTTGCTTAAAACGTTCTGATGAGACCTTCACTTTAAAATGAGGACTGCTGCCTCTTAAATGGACCTGGTCAGCTGAAGTGACCGGCCTGTTGTGGCCGGAAGGAATGAGCTGAATTTGGTCAACAGTCGCCACTGGCAAGCTGCCAAGAACATCTGATGACCCTGGCATTAAATGCGTCATCTGAGGGTGAGTTGTTACTTGCTCGGATAAACTCAACATGATTCGGCTTGCCTCCAGGCTTTGGCTGTTGGGAAGAGGGCTGTAACTGTTGCTGGCAGGGTTTGTCATCAGACTTAAGGCTTCAGTTGGTCCCAGCCCTGCAATCATAGGGTCCATGGGTGGGGAGGCGACCATACCACCAACTGGGCTGTTCAGAACTGGATTGTTTAAAACAGGATCTGTAGCGTCTGCTGCACTGGAACCTGAAAATCATAGAAAGGGAATATTTGTTATTATTCGTTTTTTTAGAAAGTATCTGATGTCTCTTTCACTTTAGAATCCATACTTTAAACTTGTCAACCTTATAGTTGCTGTATTTGTGTGCAATAAGACACAAACAGTTTGAAAACTAATCTTTGGACCCATCAAAGAAGCAAATAGTGGAGAATGGGCAGCAAAAAGTAATAGTAAAATTTATATAAATCACCCATAACTAGTGGCTACTCTCTTCCGGAACTTCACTGTGTAGATGACACAGTTCTCCTTTCGAATGGTGTAAAGGGAATAGAAAATGTAATCATGTCTGCCCAAAAGCACAGTGAAGATCAACACCTAATCTTGGATTTAAAGATAACAAAAATAATGTCCAGAGACAAAACTGGCTGTCCCCAAAAATAACAATAAATGATGAAGAAATTAAAAATGTCACAAACTTTGAATATCTAGGCTCTATAATAAATAGCAATTGAGATTGTTCGACAGAAATCAAAAGGAGGATGGCCATAGCAATGCAAAGATTAAATAGCCTTAAAAGTCTATGGTTAAGCATCAGCAAGGAAATCATAGTTAAAATTCTCCCACATACACTGTTACAATAACCTTGGTCTCCCACATACACTTTACAATAACCATGGTCTCCCACATACACTTTACAATAACCATGGTCTCCCACATACACTTTACAATAACCTTGGTCTCCCACATACACTTTACAATAACCATGGTCTCCCAAAGACAATGTTACAATAACCTAGGTCTCCCAAAGACAATGTTACAATAACCTAGGTCTCCCACATACAGTGTTACAATAACCATGGTCTCCCAAAGAAAAGAAGCTATAATAACTCTAGAGAATTAATGTTTAGGCAGACAGACACAGACTAGCAGCAGAAGTGAGAATGGCATGTAGTGAAGACATAAGCAGAAAAATGTTTCAATGTTTTACAGGGACATTCTTATAATTCCATCAGTTACTTAACATAGATTAGCATATATGTGCATTGGTAAACAAACAAAAAAAGTGAGGGGTAAAAAAGGAAAAAGGAAACAGACAAGCTAACAGACAGACAAATTAACAGATTAAAAAAAAAACCAGAAAGAAAAGTGTAAAAAGAGACAGACAAATAAGAAATAGACAGACAATAAAACATGTGTCTCACCGCCCAACAACATCTCCTGTAGAAGATTGTCCACCCTGGCCATTCCAAACAGTTTAGCAAACTGGATCTGCTCAATCATTTTCCAGCAGATGCTCTGAAGGGAAGGCAGCAGTAAGAGAATCTCCCCGAATCGACCACGACTGTCGTACTGGCGGTCGTTGATGTAGTCCTCCAAGTTTACCTGAACTTGGTAGCGAAACTGTTTGACCTTGGAGACATTGCTTAGTCCTTGGGCAACTGTGGAAGTTAGTGCGGAAAGTTAGAACCATAGACCTTAGTAATGATCATGTGAACAACAGATTACAAGTTAGTTGCTGGTCTTTTATAGGAAACTGCAAAACTAACCCAAGCATTGTAGTTTTGTTGTTGTTGTTGCTTGCTGCTTGTGATTTTACTAGGAAATTAACATTCAGTAGTTTGCCACTGCCTACTGAATGACCAGCTCTTGATACCACTGTCGAAACCAACCAACAGGTGGTGTGCTGACAAACAGCCCCCAGCAGGCATCAAACCGGGTACCCAGGAATTACAAAGCATGTTCACAATGTCTTAGCCACAGAAGCTAAACAATCAATTTGCCTGTCTGGTTGTTGTGTTAATATTTGCCTGTCTGGTTGTTGTGTAATATTTGCCTGTATATATATATATATATATATATATTGATTAAAACAATCACATTCAGAGATTCTCAAGAGCTTGGGGAAGAAAGAAATAGTAGCTGAAATAAATAAAAAGGAGACAAACTCTTTCAGCCACATTATCAAGCAAGCCTGTATTGTCTTCCTTAATGACTGTAAGATGGCCCATGACTCACATCTTTAGGTTGCTAGAAGAAATAGCAAGTCCATGCTAGAAAGACAAAAGTTGTTTGCTGCTCTGTGAGGGAAGTAAATTAAACCTCATTATGCACTCTACAACAAGGACATCCATATGCCCGTCTTTGCATCCAATTTTTATAATGCCTGCTTTCTCTCATCATTATCGTGTGCCATGTTGATAAGCACAAACAACCAGTGTTCATTATCTCATTTGATCATCAGAACTGTGGATAAGCTTCTGATCCCATTTATGTTGTGCGGCAATGCTTTTTCTTCTTCTCCTTCTATTGCCCTTTATCCCCTTATGGAGCATAGGCCCTCAACCAACTCGTGTTAAGTTGCCGTATCATTTACTATCATGTGCAACTTACCTGGTGTCCACCCCATCTGTTCATGTGTTCTTTTCTTCACCTTATTATTGGCTCGACTTTGTTTAGTTGTTGCCCACAGCTCAACATGAGTGATTCCACATACTGTTTCGTTCTCCTTATTCTATGCATGCAGCAGTTAATGAATGTTTGTGATAGCAATGCTTGCATGTGAACATTTCCCTCAAAGGGAAATTGAACTCATTCCATCTGGTTGACAGGTCAGCTTGCTAGCCAGTGCCATAACTCTTGCTGGCAGACTTACCAGGTTTAAAAAAAAAAATCACCAAACTTACCAGGTATGAAAAACACTAAGCTTACCAGGTTGAAAGACCCATTAAACTTGCCAGGTTAAAAAAAAAAAAAACAACCTAACTTGCCGGGTTTAAAAATTAAAAAAACTCACACCAAACTTACCAGTTATAAAAACCCCACTAAACTTGACAGGTTTTTAAAAAACATTTACCAAACTTACCAGGTATAAAAAACACTAAACTTGCCGGGTTAAAAAAAACCACAAAACTTATCAGGTTTTTAAAAAAAAAAAAACTCACCGCCTTTTAAAAACCCAACATTTACCAGGTTTAAAAAAACATGCGTTTAAAAAAACCTACATTTATCAGGTTAAAAAAAACAACCTAACTAACCAACAGTAATATTTCCAACACATAAGCAGCCCAATGTATGTGAACTTACCAGGGTCGAAAAAAACCAGTGTTTTCAAACAGGCATACTCTGAGTCATCTACTTGGATCTCTCTCATTGGAGCAACAATTTCATCTAGTATCCGACTGGCAACATGTCCAACATCCACGTCAGCATTCTGCCTAGTGATGATAGAGTCATTGCTCAATAACAACACTTCAGAAAATGGTAAGGATCGTTTGGCCACTCCCAGAATCAGGTGTTCTCCTGCATGTGCTCGCAGCAGTGCAACCTGGCAATGGCAAGCATGAATAATATTTTGACAACAACCAAAATATGTGAAGCTGATTAAAGTGGCAGGCCTGACTATAATACTGGCAACCACAATGATGTAGATTAATGATTGATAACTACATACAGAGATGTTGTTCTTCCATCACAAGTGATAATGACTACTCTTTCTTTGATATCTCTCATGAAACTATAGCTGATTATCTGTGATCCTGGAGGTCACTTGTAAGTCCAGTAGGGGTCCAGAAGGAGCTAGGACTAAGAGTGCAGGGAACAGTAGATGAAGGGGCCCGTTATACTGGTCTTTCTAGCCTATATGTGCTGTTCAGCTGCCCTTTTCCTAGATGCCTCGCAAGTCGCTACTTCTGTTCAGAGAGGCATTCACCATCTAGTCTAGTCTTGTGCAGCAGCCTCACATGTGTCATGGTTTATTTATACTGAAGGCTCTAAGTGATAATTTTATCATGTTCTTGAAGTGTCTTTTTTTTTTTATTTCTAGGCACCATTAGAACGCCGACCTTCTACTATCTCACTATAAAAGATTATATTTGGGAGCCGATGGTAACATGCAGACAAGAGATGACTACAATAATGACTGAAAGGCAATGACTGACTGTGACAGCATTTGGAAAGCCAACAGAAAAGAAAATATAAATGCTGTAATATACATATGAAATGTCAATGACTACAGTGATAGCTCAACTAATTTATATGTTAAAATAATACAAATAATTTAACTTTTATTTTATCTTGCTCCCTTTCCTTCTCTTGCTCTCTCTCTCCCACCAACTCTAACTGCCTGTTCATCGTCCACATTTATGCACTATATTAGTAGCAATTAATCTAAAAAATATGCGACTATTCTTTCTCTCTTTCTTCCTCACTCTCTCCCTCTGAGTCTCTCTCTCTCTCTCTCTCTCTCTCTCTCTCTCTCTCTCTCTCTCTCTCTCTCTCTCTCTCTCTCTCTCTCTCTCTCTCCTTCTCTCTCCTGCAAACATACAGAATTTCACTTTGTAATGCAAGAGTAACTTAAATGTCATAACCAGACATGAATTTGTACACTAGGATATATTTGTTTAGTTAATTTTTTTCTATTGCAGATTTTACAAATAGTAAAAATGTATATAAAATGTACAAATAGTGAAAATCTGGTATTAGACTGAACAAGCAGTTACCTGGTCATCCAGAGGAAGCTCACAAAAACATGGAATCAATTTGGCCCAGTCAACAAGAACCAGCAGCTGCTGCTTCATTGACTCTGCCACATCTTCTAGTGTTGCCGAGCGTCTGTTTCGCACATCCACAGCTGTCAGCAGCTGGGTATTGGCCTGTGAATCAATCTGCATTTGTTCCATGCAGTTTAAGAATTGGCATTTTTAAAGCAGAGCACAGATTGCAGGTAGCAGAGCAAAGCAACAAGCTTGCTTCAAACAAAAACCAAATAAAAACACATCTTGACGTACTGGAGGAAACTATGATAACCATTAACATATATTATTTATTATGATAATTAAGTATACAAATATCTTATAAGAAGAGGTCACATGATGGACATGTTTGAGCAGCAATGTCAACAAAGATAGGGGAACGGTATACTGGTAAAATAATAATACAAACGAGAGACTGACTGTTTGCCCCCTTCTGACTGACTACTACCTAAACATCTGAAAGCAAAGCTGGCTAATCATGGGAGAGAGCACATGGCATTCTGCACTCTGGCAGGGACTAAAGGGGTGATAAACATTATGGTATTACTGTTGCTCCTAACAAGTTGGGGGTGATAAACATTATGGTATTACTCTTGCTCCTAACAAGTTGGGGGTGATAAACATTATCGTATTACTCTTGCTCCTAACAAGTTAACACACTGTGCATCAACAAATGTCCCCCATGTTCACAGGTTTTTTTCCCCAACAGAAATGACAGGAAATATGGTTCCTAATTGCTTTGTTCTCATGCATGTGTTACAACTGCTTACTATATCTTCTTCTTCCTCCTCTTCTTCTTTTTCTGCAGTTATCCTCACAAGGGTTGCTGCCATATTGTGTTGTGGTTTACAGCTAGGAAGCCCAGGCCATCAATGTTGTTTTTCTCTTTAACCCGAGGCATACATTTAATGAGTGATAAGAACACAATTAGTTACAAACTAGCACTACAACCAGACAGGCAAATATTACCATGACACCCAGACAGGCAAATATTACCATCACAGTCAGACTGGCAAATATTACCATGACACCCAGACAGGCAAATATTACCATCACAGTCAGACTGGCAAATATTACCATGACACCCAGACAGGCAAATATTACCATCACAGTCAGACTGGCAAATATTACCATGACAACCAGACAGGCAAATATTACCATCACAGTCAGACTGGCAAATATTACCATGACAACCAGACAGGCAAATATTACCATCACAGTCAGACTGGCAAATATTACCATGACAACCAGACAGGCAAATATTACCATCACAGTCAGACTGGCAAATATTACCATGACAACCAGACAGGCAAATATTACCATCACAGTCAGACTGGCAAATATTACCATCACAGTCAGACTGGCAAATATTACCACAACAAGCAGATAGATAAAAGCCAGCACAACAATAAAAAAGGAAAAAACTAGCACTACAACAATACAGTAAATATTACCATGACAACTAGACAGACAAAAAAGTAGCACTACAATAATAGTCAAATATTAACATGGCAACCAGACAGGCAAATATCACCATCACAGTCAGACAGGAAAATATTAACATGACAACCAGACAGGCAAATATTAACATGACAACCAGACAGGCAAATATTAACATGACAACCAGACAGGCAAATATTAATATGACAACCTGACAGGCAAATATCACCATCACAGTCAGACAGGCAAATATCACCATCACAGTCAGACAGGCAAATATTAACATGACAACCAGACAGGCAAATATTATCATCACAGTCAGACAGGCAAATAGTACCATGACAACCAGATTCAAATATTAACATGACAACCAGATTTAAATATTAACATGACAACCAGATTCAAATATTAACATGACAACCAGATGCAAATATTACCATGACAACCAGATGCAACTATTACCATGACAACCAGATGCAAATATTACCATGACAACCACACAGGCAAATCATTCCAAGACAATCAGACAAGTGAAGGTTAGCACCAAAATCACACAGACAACTATCACCATGACAACAAGACCGACAAAACTAACACCACAATCATACAGAGATGACCACGCTGCTCAGGCAGATCAATACCAGCACCACAATTAAAGATCCAAACATCAGCAACACAGCCAGACAACAGACGACAATGTCAGACAGGACAGACCTGATGTCTAGAGACAGTGTCTGCGTGAAGTAAGGTACTGACGGACAGAGATGTGGCTTGTGAGACATCTTCATAGCTTGTTCGTCTCACACTGATTCTGTCTCTTTCATTCTGAACAGCTGTCAAGAGAGGAAACAAAACAAACAGTTATAGAAACATATGTGAGATTAGTTCTCTACAGAGGTAAGACTAGTTCCATTACACCAATACACAGGTGAGATTAGTTCCATTACACCAATACACAGGTGAGATTAGTTCCATTACACCAATACACAGGTGTTACTAGTTCAATTACACCAATACACAGGTGTTAATAGTGCCATTACACCAATACACAGGTGTTACTAGTGCCATTACACCAATACACAGGTGAGATTAGTTCCATTACACCAATACACAGGTGTTACTAGTGCCATTACACCAATACACAGGTGTTACTAGTTCCATTACACCAATACACAGGTGTTACTAGTGCCATTACACCAATACACAGGTGAGATTAGTTCCATTACACCAATACACAGGTGAGATTAGTTCCATTACACCAATACACAGGTGTTACTAGTGCCATTACACCAATACACAGGTGTTACTAGTGCCATTACACCAATACACAGGTGTTACTAGTGCCATTACACCAATACACATGTGTTACTAGTGCCATTACACCAATACACAGGTGTTACTAGTGCCATTACACCAATACACAGGTGTTACTAGTGCCATTACACCAATACACAGGTGTTACTAGTTCCATTACACCAATACACAGGTGAGATTAGTTCCATTACACCAATACACAGGTGTTACTAGTGCCATTACACCAATACACAGGTGTTACTAGTTCCATTACACCAATACACAGGTGAGATTAGTTCCATTACACCAATACACAGGTGTAACTAGTTCAATTACACCAATACACAGGTGTTACTAGTTCCATTACACCAATACACAAGTGTTACTAATTCCATTACACAGGTGAAACAAGACCCACAATCAAATGCAGACTCCTGGTGTGGGTTCCACGGAACCATTCTGTGGGTGGCGGGACAGACCCACTGCATTCCAACAAGTATGTCATAAGAGTCATAAGCGACTAATTAGGAATGTCTGAGAGGCGAGGAACCAAGAGTCTGCACACAAATAGGCCAGAACTATAAAACTGATGTGCATGCAAAACTCAAGTTCTGGAGCAAGACTTGAGTCCAGAAGTGAATGAACAACCAGAACTTTCCACCAGAGTTTACAGCTGGTGAACACTAAGAAGAAGAAGAAGAAGAAGAAGAAGAAGAAGAAGAAGAAGAAGAAGAAGAAGAAGAAGAAGAAGAAGAAGAAGAAGAAGAAGAAGAAGAAGAAGAAGAAAAAGAAGAAGAAGAAGAAGAAGAAAAAAGAAGAAAAAGAAGAAGAAGAAGAAGAGGAAGAAGAAGAAGAAGAAGAAGAAGAAGAAGAAGAAGAAGAAGAGAAGAAGAAGAAGAAGAAGAAGAAGAAGAAGAAGAAGAAGAAGAAGAAGAAGAAAAAAGAAGAAGAAGAAAAGGAGGAAGAGAAGAAGAAGTAGAAGGAGGAGAAGAAGAAGTAGAAAGAGGAGAATAAGAAGAAGAAGAAGAAGAAGAAGAAGAAGAAGAAGAAGAAGAAGAAGAAGAAGAAGAAGAAGAAGAAGAAGAAGAAGAAGAAGAAGAAGAAGAAGAAGAAGAAGAAGAAGAAGAAGAAGAAGAAGAAGAAGAAGAAAAAGAAGAAAAAGATGAAAAAGAAGAAAAAGGAGAAGAGAAGAAGAAGAAGAAAGAGGAGGAGGAGAGAGGATGAAAAGAAGAAGAAGTGGAGTTTATTCCATGAAAAGGGTAAGACTGTTTCCTTTATATGGGTAAGAAAAGTCCCAAAGAAGGTTGATGTAGATTTTTGACAGAGTAAGAAAGAACCAATGGAGATTGATGTAGAGTGCTGACAGGGTGAGAAAGAACCAATGGAGATTGATGTAGAGAGCTGACAGGGTGAGAAAGAACCTATGGAGGATGATGTAGAGAGCTGACAGGGTGAGAAAGAACCAATGGAGGATAATGTAGAGTGCTGACAGGGTGAGAAAGAACCTATGGAGGATGATGTAGAGAGCTGACAGGGTGAGAAAGAACCAATGGAGGATAATGTAGAGTGCTGACAGGGTGAGAAAGAACCAATGGAGGATGATGTAGAGAGCTGACAGGGTGAGAAAGAACCAATGGAGGATGATGTAGAGTGCTGACAGGGTGAGAAAGAACCTATGGAGGATGATGTAGAGTGCTGACAGGGTGAGAAAGAACCAATGGAGGATGATGTAGAGTGCTGACAGGGTGAGAAAGAAACCTATGGAGGATGATTGTAGAGTGCTGACAGGGTGAGAAAGAACCAATGGAGGATGATGTAGAGTGCTGACAGGGGGAGAAAGAACCTATGGAGGATGATGTAGAGTGCTGACAGGGTGAGAAAGAACCAATGGAGGATGATGTAGAGTGCTGACAGGGTGAGAAAGAACCTATGGAGGATGATGTAGAGTGCTGACAGGGTGAGAAAGAACCTATGGAGGATGATGTAGAGAGCTGACAGGGTGAGAAAGAACCTATGGAGGATGATGTAGAGAGCTGACAGGGTGAGAAAGAACCTATGGAGGATGATGTAGAGTGCTGACAGGGTGAGAAAGAACCTATGGAGGATGATGTAGAGTGCTGACAGGGTGAGAAAGAACCTATGGAGGATGATGTAGAGTGCTGACAGGGTGAGAAAGAACCAATGGAGGATGATGTAGAGTGCTGACAGGGTGAGAAAGAACCTATGGAGGATGATGTAGAGTGCTGACAGGGTGAGAAAGAACCAATGGAGGATAATGTAGAGTGCTGACAGGGTGAGAAAGAACCTATGGAGGATGATGTAGAGTGCTGACAGGGTGAGAAAGAACCAATGAAGATTGATGTAGAGAGCTGACAGGGTGCGAAAGAACCTATGGAGGATGATGTAGAGTGCTG